TGCTTCGCATTCAGAGGATTTAGTGACCAAGCGACGGGTTATCGTGACTGTGGTTTTCGTAGTTTTCTCCAGTCCCTCCAGGCAAATACATATACAGCATCTTCAGTTAAGCGATAACCGATTCCTTCCACATCCTTCCCATTAGAATAAATCATTCTGTCATTCGAGGTTATTCAACGAATTCCGCTGAAACAGCTTCGCTAAATAAATTAATAAATAGGCCCAATCTATTCTACACCTTGTCCAGAACAGTTGAGCAGAAACACCTAGTAAAATTTGATTATCTCGAAGGGATCTGACGTTCTTACGGCAGTGTCGATGTTGGTCTTCCGTGTAGTAACGCCATGTGGACTTGTAGGTTGATACTAAAGTTCCTCCGAAATTACAAGTCCACACAGGGTTACGACCCACAAAACATTAACACCATGAAGGCTAAGGCGTCTGAAACGTGAAGCTGAGCATCTAATCATCTATAGATCTATTTACGAAGCTAAACATTCCTTCCTTCCACCAGGTAATGAGCTACACAACTATGGAGCAGAATCCTTGAAAACCAAACAGTCGCGCAACTATTTAACAGATTAGCCGCCTTCTATGGAGCCTAGAAGCTCATTACTGTGTTCACAAGAGTCATCCACTCGTTCGTGAGTCCGATCTTGTGTCAGGTGAATTCAGTTCACAACCTCGCAGGTACATATTAATACCATATTCACATCTAAGCGGTCTAAGTGGCCTCTTCCGTTCAAGATCTCCGATTAAAATTACGCATGCATTTCTAATTCCCTCCATAAATGCTACATGGTCCGTCAAATCATCTTCCTTAACTTCATCAGAGTAATCATACTCGAAGCTCTTTATTGTAACAGTTTTATCAAACCTCTCTGCCTTGTTTCCCACTTTGCTCCAAATATTCGCCTAAGAAGCTTCTTTCAAACACCCTCAGTCTATGTATGATTTGAGGTTTTCACAGCGGTGAGTACAATAAAATCTTCTCGGGCTATCAGCCGCGTTAAGTGGTTAAAACACGAAAAGACCAACGTTTCGAGGTCCATCTCTGTCATCGTCCTCAGGGTACTGAAGTGGTTGTAAGTTGCTGGGTGTCCCAGATATTCCCAAACGATGATCATATGAACGAAACGAATGGGTGACTATGATGTCGACCGCAATGCCAGAGTCGTACGAAGCTGTGGACATAGGAGGCCTGCTTATTTGTGTGCAATGCAACTGTGGAACATCGATCATCTGATTCATTAACCTCAGAGCATGATCTTGACACGAAAACCAGGACACACAGACCTTGGGGTGATCATCGCTGAAACCATTGTTATTCACAACACACGGATGATGTAACACTGGGAACTGAACTACCGGCATTATCGCTGTATTTTAAATGCTGATTGCCTTCAGTCAACCGATTTTTTACCTGCTTCTAGACGGCGCCGACATTCTGAAAGCAAACGTTGCATCAGTTACGGTAAAAACTGAAACTCGTTTTTAGCAATCTGAGACGAGTTTCATTTGAAGCAGGTCGCGACCAAGGGTTGAACACTACGCCAGCACCTAGTCCTTCGAAACTGGAAACGAAACATATTTTACAACAGCATTCAGTGATTTTTACATGTCGACGTATGGAGGTATAACTCCATGAATTCTTAACCTCGGCTCAGACGGAGGTGATTCTGTCAGCTTCGCGCGTCCGCCACTTTAACCCCAAGAAAAGAACCCCGTACCCATTAGGCAGGATGCTGTGTGGGCCTCCGCTGGGAAAAGTTCTTCTCTGCCGGGGATCGAACTCGTGTTGCCCAGCCCTTAGTCTAGTCACCACAGTGACTCAGCTAAATAAAAAATATCCTCAGCCCTCAGGACGATAATGGCGCTGAAAAAAAGAGGCAGTAACCACATTTGATGCGTCGGGCAATTTCTACGAGACTACACCGCGTAACAACTCGGCCACGTCATCTTAGTTTGGATTATTCAGTATTAATTAGATGCGTATCAGAAAAGGCAAATTGCCACGCACCGGTACCAAGCAAATGTAGTAGGAACATGCCTTAATTGAGTTTAATTAGTCTGCATGAACGATAATGCAGGAGGGAAAGTGGAAGTGTCGCTTGTACCCAGGTATCACGTGCCAGGCTGAACTTTCACGACCCGACAAGGCCCTGTTTTACTGATGGAGAAATAAACACGTTGCACAATCGCGGTCTAAAATAGAAGCCACTGCTAATATTTTATTTATATCTAAAACCGGATCTAATGAAAGCCAAGAACTTTCAATAACAACTGAAAATACGCCAATTACCTCTTTCTTTCATGACTAATATCAAGCGGTGATACTAGCTCGACGGAGCTGATTTTCTTCTTGAGAAGCTCATAGTTGCTTACATGTCAACACAATAGAATCCGGGATTTGTAATCGTGTCTCAAGAGTCACTCATTTATCTCCTGATCAAGATAAATCCAGTCCATACCAGTCGCCCATCAGTATCGTGAATCTTTAATGTGGCCGGCGAACTCTCTCGACGAAGGTAAATCTAAAGATTGTCTTTTTTCAGAAGAATAAAATCACGTTCTTCAAAATTAACACTTGAAGCCGCTTTAAATTTGCGAATCTGAAGTTATGTTTTCTTTGAGGTAAGAACTGCATTTTAATTATTATTTAGATGAGCTCCATCTTCAGTTAATTTAAATAATTCTAACTTGGCAACCTGATTTGACCAGTCTTCTAGCGAGTATCGCTGTGTTAATCTTTCCTTCCTGGCTAAAAAGAAATAACGAGACTGGACAGGTGAATCGTGCTTAAGACAATTCGTGTTTGTGTGCATTTCCTCCCCATCACTCAGTCGAATGAAGTAATTACAAACATTAATAACACTGCATATATATTACATGAAATACAACAAGAAGCTAGTATTTACAGGAATATTAGATCCGCTGTTAAGATCTGACCTATTTTTTCGATACGAAACTTTGGCTTATACGGAAAAGAGGCTATACAACGTCAGTTCCATTGCCTAATCATGAAGGTCATGTGTCCTGTTGGCTACACAAGTGATGAAAATTGTTACAACGCATAATTACCTCAGTGGAAAAGTTGCTATTAATGGAGGCAGACAGTGCAACAAACTTAAAACTGAGAAGCATTATGCAAATGAAATGCATAAACAGGAAGAAGCGGTTTTGCATTTAAATTAAACACTCTCTTCCATGTTCATGGACACGCCACAGATTATATGCAGAATGTTGGTACCTTTAAGACGAGATCTTATTTAGAAATCCATCGTATATATTAACAACTCCCCACAATCAATGTGTGACATTTGCTCATGTATTTAAATATATTTCGTAATTGGTCTTTATTCTTGTCAGAATCTGCGAGTTAATGTTCACTCAAAAAAAAAATGAAGCGTTACCCTTCAGAACTGCGAACATCTTAAATCAGTTATGAGGATAAGCTAGTGCTGTACTACTCTGGCATTAGAGTGCGGAAATAACTTTACAGTACTTTTGAAGATGTGCAATGCTAGCCGTCAGATATTGGTTACCAGACATCAAATGAGATACAATCTTTTAAGAGACCACCACCTCTGCAATTCAAAGCAAAACAAGAACTCGCCACCACTACAGAATGACAGTTAACAGACAAAGAAAGAAGTCAGGCAGAAACAGCTTAAGTTCGTACCTTTTGAATGGTTCATTCTAGGCGTGGCAGAGTCCTCGCAAGATCCGGAGAAACAGAGTACCACCGATGATGTTACTCCGCACGGAAGGAGCGAATCGAATGGGGCAAGTCACCAATATGGAGTGCTATTATCCAAATGGTTCCAACTCGCAAATTCTGACCAAGAATCAAGTTTGGCATGAACAGCATCAGCACACCTGACTGCATTCTCGACGGGCAAGGTATCGCCTTTACTGCGCCTCAGCTTGAGCAAGAGCAATTCTTCTTCGTTGCTGGAAGACTTCTTGAGAAGGACATAGTTCTTTCCCGAGTTACTGTCCCAGTACTCGGCTCCTTCACACCGAAAACACACGCAGAACTCAATTCGGACCGAACGGGGCGGCAAAGTAAGACGGAATGAGAACGTATCGTACAAGACATACGATGCAGCTGCAGAGACCGTGGAGTTGTTATTGACGAATGTACAGTAGGCATCTTCATGTGTTCTCCATTCGTCAGACGTTGATCGGACAAATACTTCTTTGTGGTAAGCGACATTTCGCACTTTCACGGTACCCACGACAATGTCCTCGGCTTCGCGGACGATAACGTTCTCAAGAGAGACATTTCCCGTATCCAGACGCTTGCGGAAGTCCAGGTAATCCGAGGCGGGTTGTTGGAACGTCACTTCCCAAGGTTCAGGTACTACTTCGGCCGAGATGCCTCTTGTTACTTGGGCAAGGAACTGAAAACTGAAAGCTGGAGGGACGTTCGACGGTTCAGTCATTACGCGAACCTGTGAAGGGGCAAACAACAGGAAAATTAGAAAAGCCTCTGCTTTCCTAATTCGAACAGTCGTTCTTTGTACTTTTCCAAAGTGAACAATGTTAAAAGTAAATTCGATTCTGCGGGTAAAGGTAAATGAAGTGAAAAACAAGTAATTGGCTATTTTACCGTACGAATGAAAAATTCGAAAGACGAATTTAGTACTAGAAACCCTGACATTCCCAATACTCAGATGTTAATATTCGTAAAACAACTGCAGGATTCTTTAGTAACTGTTAAATATCAATGCCTCGGAAAATAGATGTGTACAGTAGTAGCATTTGAGGTTTTCACGGCGGCGAGTCTGAAGGTGACTGAATTCTGGGATGTTGCGCCGTGTAGTCTGGCATAAGTTTACCGAAGTTTCAGAGGTCCTTGCTGCCTCCATCATCAGGGCGTTGAGTCAGCAAGGACATCTGAAACGTCGGTAAACTTCTAGTAGACTACGCGGCGCAACATCCCAGAAGAGAGCCATCTTCATCTCTAGTTGTGCACAATTCTGATCAAACACGCAAAATATCTGACTGCGTTATCAGACTTTACTGTCATTCTTAGAAAGAATTTGCGTTCATAAAGAAAACAAAATACACCCACCTGTGTTAATGACAGACCCTTATCATCGGCAAACACAACCTTCTTTTTCAGTCGAGTTGGGCTTGGAAGATCATTCTCATCCGAAGAACTAGAGGTGTCCTCAGGCCGTACGACGAGGCAGGGACGCCTTGGAACTGCTACTGGCATTTTTAATAATGTAGAATGCGAATTAGTTTGAGGCTGTAGAGGCGGGGAAGTGTGTTGAGCAGGTAGTTGGGAGCCGAACTGTAGGGGACGGATATAGGAACAGGCTGGAGGATGCTTGTATCTCAGCCTGTAGCTCGCGAAGTTTGAAAAGAAGTCTGCAGAGACCGGAGGACTGTGTGCCACTAACATTTCATAGTCGGCTGGCATTACTATGGAGCACAGTGACTACCTGAAACAAGGATACAAGCAGATCATCAACACAGGCTGTTCGAAACTATCGCCTGAATTAATAAGACAGTAATGAAGGGTTAAAAGCAGAATGTTCCTTCGAAGCGTTTCTGCCCACCCACGAGTCGACACTGTTACGAGTCAGAAGATAAAAACTGACAGTAGAGAAATAGGTTTGATCCTGTGCATATCTCAGTAGTGTGTTTTGCTGGAGCGGTGGGTTAGTGTGTGAATGTGTTAGTTACATTTTTAATAACCAGAGAGAAACTAGTTTCAGGCACTGAAGACTACAAACAACTCGACGGAGTAGAGATCTTCTAAGAAGCTAACAGCATCTCAACAAGTCAATACATTCCCCGTCTTTTACGCAATTCGAAGATTCATTACCGTGTTCACAAAAACCTGCCACTGAGCAATTTCCTGAGCCATAAAAATCCAGTCCACTGCCTAGAACACTACGTCTTTATGATTCATTTTAATATCATCAACCCTCTACTACTAGGTTTCCCGAGTGGACTTTTTTCTTTTTTTACTTTGTCCATCGTCTATGTTAAAAAAAATTAAATTTACTGTGTTCTGCTTTCGTCTTGAAGTGAAAAGGGAAGAGGACATGTTGGGCCCCTGGTTGAGTCAGCCGTTAAAATACCAACATAACTTCCCGTTCTTGTATTGTAATATGCACAGTACACTTCGGACGGAACTCCTTGTACTCAAATGCTTTGGCTTGTTTGTAGAAAATAGCTGCTCTTTATTCATGCTTCAATTTAAGCGCTATTCATTTCTAAGCTAAGTCATGTTCATAGGGCACTTGTGTCTTGCTTGAACCCAAATGCCAACAAAGAAAAAAAATCCGCTGAATCGTTCAGGCACTGAAGTTCAACGAGACGCATAGTAGAGGGCGATGTACGTACAACAGACTGAATTTAAAAAAATATAGGGTATTCAGGAACGCAGGATTTTAGGTTTTTACAGCCGTGAGTCCAAAGATGGCTGTCTTGTAAATTGTATCACCGTGTAGTCTGGAAGAAATTTGCCTAGAGCGCTATAACCTATCAGACAGCCATCTTCGTTATTCAGGAACGCTTGTGGCATGGTGCTGGCAATATTAAGTTGCGTGCTTCCAACAAGACAGACAAAATCTCCATCGAAATACACACTCTTCCTAGTAATTTTAAACTGTACACATATTATTCGATAGGCTCGTAGCTAGTCAGAATTCGTCCACACGTGCTCGAACTTCGTCGTAGTAGACTGAGGGTATCTGATAACAGGATGCTGAGAATAATACTTGGGCTTAAAAGACAGGCAATGGCAGGAGATCGAGAAAATTGAATAACGAGGTGCTTCCTAATTTGTAGGCCCACACTTCACCAAATATTATGAGGGCCATCAAATCAAAGAGGATGAAATTGGTGCAGCGCGTACTGCAAGAGGAAGTGATGAGACGCACATTATAATAAGGAAACCTTAAAGGACAGAACCACTTGTTTAAAACTGGAATATATTGGATAAAAGACATTAAAATTGATCTTAAAGGAATAATATTTGAGGGTGTGGATTGGGTTAAACTGGCTCAGAATAGGAACTGTAACGAGATCTTAACGAATGAAGTGTTCATTGAAAGTCGAGAGATTTCTTGACCAATCGAGCAACAATCAATTATTAAAGAACAACACGTCCTGTTAGGTTAGGTTAGACATTATAGTAGTTTCTATCTGAAGCAGTACAGGCTAGATCCTTTGACAGAACTGCATTGGACTGTTAAGTTGATGGAGAATCAAAGGAAAAATATCCCTAAAATATTATAATGATAAGTTTAGTTTAACCAATTGATCTTTGTAAAGGTGAAACGTTCTGTTTTCTTTGAAGTACAGACTGAATTGAAAAAAAAATATTTAGACCAGCTTCGACTTCATAGGGTTGAACAAGTCTGAATGAAAACCCTGGTCGTATTCTACACCCCGAGAGGCGTCTTTCTGCCTCATCATTTGCTAACAACAGACGTGAGACTTATGCCTCATAAAGGGAAGAATATTTCTGATATAACAACATTTCCGAGTTCGTATACAGTAATTTACATGTGCGTTGCGTCTTCATGTACAAAGTAACAAATTGCTGTCTGCTCTTAGTGGCGTCTTCATGGCACAGACGTCTCTGTTCAGCGTTTGACAATAAGACCATTTTTATAAACACGCAATTTGTGCTTCCATGGGATGGTTAGGTCGGTATACGGGAGATAGAAATAAAACACTTCAGTCACGAGACTGGCGTCAAGTGTACATTTCGCAAAACATCTTCGGTAAAAAGAAAAGCAGACGCGCTTCTTGGTAATCTGCTTCGGTAAGTTGATGTCTGTGGTTTGTCTGCACGTGTTTGAAACACACGGCCTATCCTTCTGGACAGTTATTTTTCAATGCCGATATACGAAACATAAGTGTACGCACAGGCATATATAACCATTCCTGAGTGGAACCTAGCCGAGACGCCTCTTATTAAAGCGATTTCGCCGTCTGTAGTGGCTTTCACTTTTTGAATGTACGGCCAAGGATCTGACGAAGTCTAAGCCCCTGTGTGATATTCCATAACACAGTAGTTTCCTTTTTGATCAGGGATTGTCATCCTCCAGACCAACGTCTAAGGCGAAGAATCACTCAGTGTCTTTCGGCTGTCAGTGACTGCTTATCCGATAATTCGCAGCCATCCTCCATTTCTTTAGGATATAACATTAAGAAGATAAGAAAGGACACAGCAGCTTCTAGTCTGTACTGAGTACACTAATTTCTTAGGCAGAAATGTGAATATCGGTGTAATAAATAGCTCAATTATTCTATTATGCGTTAAAAAGGCTGTTCCAGAAATAAATGCAGAAAACTATGCGTGTGTTAATGCAACGAAATCAGAACAAAATACAGGCTAAATACAGATATAAATCTAATGACGGAGATGAGACACACGGAGGCACTAGACTTCAGATAGAAATTTACCGACGTTTAAAATGTACCTACCGTCCCCATCAACAGGGCGACCACTGTTGGCGACGAGCCAGATTATGTACTTTGAGAAGGGAAGACGTAGCGTATAAGGCGTCCTGCTCTTCCCCCCTTGCCCTTGTATTTTCCCTTCTCCCAACCCTATGACGTAGCTCAGGCTTGCAGATATTTGCGCCCTAAGAGTCTACACAGCGTCGAAACCCAGAACGCCACCTCCACCACAGTTAGAACCTCACGCCTCTCACAGTGGACCTCTACGGTGAGGCAACGCTGGAATCCCTGCGCATCAGATCAGATCTGAAGCTGCAGAAATGTTGCTTCGAAACACTGATATGTACCTGCAAGTCTGCACGGCGTCAAAGCACAGATCAACATCGTCAACGCACTATTTACTGCAAAATAAGGGCAAGAAAATGATTTCCCGATATCGAATTTACGAGACACATAAGAGGTCAATCGTGAAGCTGATAACCCATGCAGCTCATGTACACTTGATTACATTCGGCGAGATATAAAAATTCCATAATTAGTGTAAATTGCTTTGTTAAAAGTGAGGTCAAATAAGGCAAAAGAGACCTTAGAAGGACAAAATTAATTTCATCTGTAGACTCTTACGCTAACGTGTCCTCGCTATAAGAGGATTATATTGCAGTTTAACATGTTGATCCGCATCAAAGTATCCGTCCTGTATTATGTGTACATGAGATTATTTACAACGACGATTAAAATAACTGAACTGAGACAAACTGTAACAAAAATAAAACCAACAGATTTCATAACAAAAACTAAGAGTCACAACAAACAGTAGAAAAACAGATTAATGATGAATTTGTAAAATAAGTTCCAATAAAACAATGTTTCGTGGACATTTAAATAACAACTGCTAGGAAATGAAAACTCGTGCTGACTTAGAGTACGTGAATGAGTAAGTGAGCTTCCTACGAAAGGAAATAGAGAAGATCATGTGTCTTAAACACATCTCACATCGACACAAAGTGAGCCACTACGTTATGAGGCATAGAACCATAAAATCATTGAGAGGGCTTCAGTGGTCACAGTTCTTACTGCATTTTGGTTACAGATCTTGAAGTACAAAATCTGATACGACGAGGAATCTTGACAACTATGAATAAATATTTTTTTAAATAAATGACGAGGAGTGGTTATGGTGGTGTTTTGTATTCTGGAAACTGAAAGCATGAAAAAAAACTAGAAAAGGTAAGACGTCAGGTTCTCACGGCGGTGAATACGAAGATGACTGTTTTCTGGGATGCCTTGCCTTGCAGTCTGGTAGAAGTTAGCCGACGTTTCAGAGGTGCTTCCTGCCTCCAACATCAGGACGATAAGTAAGTCGCGAAAATTTCAAGCCTTGGACCGGTCACGAGACTCGAAGAATTTTATGGAACCCCAAGCTCCAGTGCCGTATTAACAACAGCCTGCCAGGAAACCCAATACCGAGCCAGCTTAATCCAGTTTACATTCTCGCATCATATTTCAAGAACAGTTTTCATATTATCCTCCTACTAATGTACAGGCTTTCAAATTTTACTATTAAATATTAATGTGTTACTCAAAACAACAATATAACACCGATTCATTTAAGTGTCTGCTTAATACTTGCCAGAGCATTTGGATCTAAATAAGAAAAATTTTGTTGCTGAAAGCACAGGGCTTCCTACTTTCTAGTGAAATCCTGGTGAGCTTCAGGAAGTATTTTATTGAAAATGTGATGAAATCAATCTCATAAATTAGATAAGGCGACAGACGTATCAACAGCTAATCATTTCATTGAAAGATTATCTCGAAGGACAGTTACAGATTCATTTATGCGAACACGCGTTCACACACGTGAAACACTACGTACGATTCGACATTGAGCTTGTATTTTTTCCCCCAAAAGCGCACATGTCTTGTCTGTGTGCATTAGGTAATCTCGGAAATTTGGTTCTGGTGTTCCAGACTAAAATTTGTCTGGTGAATTTAGGTTTGTGTGCTCTGTTTAAGAACTCCT